CCGCGAAACCCAGCAGGCACGCCAACTAAATGCACGCACCACCCTCGTCAGCCCCCAAGCCCCCGTGTGATCGTTGCCCGCCCGCACGCGCGGGTTAAACGAGCGTACCAGGATGACCCGCACGGGTGTCCAGAGAAGGAACGGTGCCAGGTAGCGGGACATGAGCGGCACCAGGATGGTGCCCCTCTTCCTGTTGGCCGCGCCCGGCCTCTCGCGTCTGTCGATTGCGTGCGGTCAGCCATTGTGGAGTCGTGTGCTGTGTGTCGTGCGCGCGTGTCGTTGTGTGTGTGTGTGTGTCGTGTGCTCCGTACATCATGATGACCTGACCCGAGGCTTCCTCTTCTTCTGCGGGCAATACAGACTCCCCGGGAGAGTACTGAATCGAGGCCGTCGGTCTGCTCTCCGAGAAGTCTTCCATTGTCTCCGGGTCGGAGCTGCCCGAGCCCTTCGGCGCGTGCTGCTCTTTCTCGTCCTCGCTGTTGATCAACAACACATCGACGCAAGACAGTCGTCACGAGCTGGTGGGTTCCGCCTCCCAAACGCGCGCGCAGGGTGGCATATATGTGGAGGCGTACGAGGTGGCCGATTGCGCGGAGCGTGTGGAGGTGACCTGGTCCACGTCGTCGACGTCGGGGTAGCACGAGATGCAGGGCAAGATGTCCGAACGGTATTTCTGCACACAACGGGCACGCGTGCGTGAAGCGATGGCCAGCGAGAGAGCGGTGGGCGACGTCCCCGGGGGGGGGGGCGCAGGGGTACGCGCGTACCATGATGCGGCGAGAGTCGAGAATGAGGCAGCACGCAAAGAACGAAATGAGGAGCAGGTACTCCGTGCCCACGGCCAACGCGGCTTGCTGGAGAGTTTCGGAGTTAAAACAAAGCGAAGAGGCGCGGTCGGGTTGGGGGGGGGCACGCACCTGCCCAAATGATCGCAGGCCGGGGATGGGGGAGATGGAGATGGCCAGGAAGGCGATGACCTCGATCAGGCACTCGATGGTGATGGTGGGGCAGGCCTTGGCCATGGCCCCGTTGATCCAGTACTCATCGTCGACCACCACCACGTCCTGGTTCGACTTGTCGCCACTATCGCGCCACAACAAAACACACCACATCAACCAACCACCACCACCTTGCGCCCCACGAGAGTGGGTAGCGGTGTGAATAGGACGTACAGGTGTCTCACGAGCTCGGGGTTGGCGTCGCGGGCCTTGACCTTGCGGAACGGGTTGAGCCCCGGCGACGTGGTCAGGTCCTCGATCAGCGTGCGCTCGTAGGCGTGCACCAGGAGGAGGATGTGGTTGATGCCCAGCGCCATCACCAGGAAGTAGAGGGTCTGTGAGAGCGGGGTGATGGTGATGCGCAGGAACCCGTTGAGGCCCGTGGCCGCCACGCCGGCCAACACCACGTGGACAATGCCCGCCACCGTCAACAGCACCTTGGAAATCACGCAGTCGAAAGAGTACAGAGTGCCTGTGCAAACAGAAAACAATACGATAAGGATGACCTACGTGTGTGTGTGTGTGCGCGCGGGGGGGGAGGGGTGTGCGTGTGTGCGCGCGTACCGATAAGGAACACAAACATGCAGCCGAGCGAGAGGAAGAACAGCCAATCGTCGCCCACCATTTGGGCGATCAGCTTGTCGGTCAGCGACGCCTGGAGCACGAGGTAGACGCCGATGAGCGGCGAGTCCTGGGAGAACTGGGTCGTGTTGGACACCAGGGCGTCCTCCCACGCGGCCACGATCGCCGGGTAGTCCGGGTTGGCGTCCGTCGCGGCCTGCGAGGCGCGCACGTAGATCAGGGACTTGAACGCCGACGCGCGCTCGAGCGAGCCGTTCACGCCGGTGAGCGTCATCCCGCCCACGACCAGGTTGCGCAGCAGCGGCTGGCGGAAGGAGGTCTGCTGCGGCGGCCCGCCCACGATGAGGTGCGGGTCGGGGTCGGCCTGGATGGCGGTGAGGTTGAAGCCCCAGTAGTCGAGCACCGAGTAGTAGCGGCACACGTGCGACTTGGCCGGATTGGGGTGCACGCACAGGTCGGTGAGGGTGTAGGTGCGGTTCTTCCACTCGACCGACACGTTGAACATCATCGCGTGCAGCCGGTACATCTCCTCCAGGTACGTGCGCGATTCGTTGGCCGATATCACCTGCTTGTCCGGCGATAACAGGTCCGCCCCTGCACGCACGCACGCGCGCACACGTACGCGGTCATGAGGGTTGTGGCGGTGGTGTGCGCGGTGGTGCGTGTGCGTGTGTCGTGCATTGAGTGGGTTGCAGAGAGGCTTACCACTCCGTTTGGCGGTGATGATGAAGAGTTCCTCGTGCTCGCCGAACACCTGCTTCTGGTAGTCCTCGTTCGTGACGTAGGCGCTCCCATCGTCCAGCCACAGCCTGCCCACACGCAACCAAGACACGTATGATCGTTATTATTATTATTTATTTATTTATTTAGTGTATATTTTATTTCTATATTGTTTATTTAATTCGTTTATTTGCTTCAATAGGAAATAAGTGGTAATAAGTAATTAATAAATGTTCACCACAACGATAAATGGGGAGTGGACGGGGGTACCGGGGCTGGTCGTCTTGCTGGTCCTCGAGAAAGAGGCCGAAGCCGAGGCCGCCGTAGATGACGGCCGACAGGAGCATGATGACGACGGGGTACTTGTGGAGCAGCCGCGACCACCGAATGAACGCCCACTGCAGCAACGCGCTCAGGCCCCGGTTCCACAGCAGCACCCGCGTCAGTGCGTCGTCGCTGCTGTGCCGGGTCCTTGGCCTTCCCTTGGCGGCCCCGCCGAAGCGATGCCCATCCACGTTGCCATCAACATCTTGTTGGTCCTGGTCTCCATCGTCGTGAGTGTGCTTGTTCGCGCCTTTCCGGGCTTTGGGCGGGCTCCGTCGTGGAGATGGCTTGCGCCCGACTTTTTTGCTTCGGTCGTGGTTGCGCTCCTCTTGTTGTTCTTCTCGGACGAGGGGTGCCTCCTCGTCGCTCTCCTCCGATGCCTCTTCGCTTTCTGTTCCCTCCTCTTCCTCCGATGCCTCTTCGCTTTCGGCATCTTCGTCGCCGGTGTAGTCCTCCGACTCGTCTTCCTCCACCACCGCGCTTCTCTTGGGCGCCTCCATCTTCCTCCTTCCAATGCCTCCCCTCACCTTTCTTTTGTTTCCGTGTTGAAGAAGGAAGCTCGCCCGAAAACCCTCGCCCTTCATTTTCACACGACGAACATGGTCCTCAAGAAGAAAATCAAAGAAACCAAAAAAGAAATCCGAAGCAAAAGACAACAAGATGGGTGCTGCGCTGTCGGAGGGGGCGGAGCAGGCGATGGGATGGTCCGAACAGCTGGACGCGCTGACGCATACGCGCCTGGACGCGGTGGTGTTCGGCGGCGTGCTGGGGCTGGTAGCTGCGGCGCTGTTGCAGTGGGTGGTGTGGCCCTACGTTCTGGGGTGGCCTGCACACGAGGGCAGCGGCGGCAAGAGGCGGGGCTGGACCGCCCCGCAGTTCATCACCGCGAGTGCCATCCTCGGGGCGTGGTTCGCCGGGGCACTGGGCACGCTGGGCATCGGTCTCTTCGTGTGGGGCCTCGCCATGTGGGCCTTCAACCGCTCCGCCCGGCTAGGCAACACGGGCTGGGACCGCCCATGAGCACGTACGAGCCCCCCCCCCCTCCTCATGCCGTCTGGACGAAATGCTGACCTACTCCCCCCCCCTTCTACAACTTCTTCTTCAGGGGAGTCGTCTGGCGACGGATTACAAGAGCGTGGACGCGACCGGCAGGAGAAGGCGCTCCACCATTAGCAGGATCATTGCGGACTGTACATGAGCAGAGGATGATGAGAAGAAGCGACCGAGTTCCCGAGCAGGCTGTCCCCGTCTGTCGAGGTGGAGGTAGAGGTGTTTATTGAGAGGGAAGAAGGAGAAAGACTATGTACACGCCACACCCCGAGCGAGCTAGGAGCTGACGGGGAAGGTAGAAGGAGCAGGGACGGGGGCGGAACTCGGCGCGTAGGAGATGGGAGCGGTACGCGGGGCATAGAGCGCGGCGAGGGCGCCCACGGGCGCGGGACTGGGCAGGATGTGCACCAGCTTCGGCGGCGTCCCTCCTCCCGCGCTCTCGGGCGGCGCTTGC